CTCGTGAAGAGTTCGAAACGTCACGCTTATTTTCAATTTCTCATTGTGGCTAGTTTCATTTTCATTTTTGTGTTCACGTGATTGTGTTTGTGCTGTGTTCATATATATATATATATATGTATATATATATATATATATATATATATATATTATATGTATATATATATATAATATATAATATATATATATATATATTATATATATACAACCGTATATATGTGTTATGTGTGTGCACATTTATATTTTTTGTAGGTGTAGGTACACATATATGTGTATATGTGTACGCGTCTGTGTGAAGAAATCCATATATAGAATGCCAATTCATCAAAGTCACTATTAACATTAAACAAGAGAATTACATTCTGAGTGAAAAAACTTGGTGTGTGCGTAGACCAAAACAACTGTTTACAATACAATTACATAAATCGTATACAATATCAAATATTTCAATGTTGGTTCCAGCATTGCTTTCAAACAAACAAACGACGGGTTTAACTATCTGTAAAATAACCCGAGAGAATATTAGATAAAGCAAAAACAATCGTTATTGTTTGGCATTGTGATGTAGCCTTTAGATAATTTTCCTATTGCTTGTAAATGGATGCAGAATGTCACGATGATGCTGTTATTCTCCTAGTTTAGATAAAGGCATATTTCAAAATACACTTTCTATGAACTGTGTATTATTTTTAACATGGAGCTTGGAGACACTGAAAAAAAATGAGTAAACTGTATTATCTTCTCGTCTGTGTATACATGTGTTCTATATCTGTGTTTCACTTGCAACACACTGATATCCACTAACATATCGACAGTATCTAACCAGTTTTAAACCGGTTAGATGCTGTATTCTGAACAACAAAAAACGGGACCTTGTAAAATGTATAGGTAGACTCATGCATATTTATGTTTTACATAATTATATATTTTTTGTCTTTTATCATTCTAACGTATCATCTTATAAGTATATAGCAATGCATTTGAATTGATGTCCGCAGTACTGGATTCTGTTTTTTAAGCAGTAAAAGAGACACCGTGTGAATGAAACATTTCTTTTGTGTAAATACACATTTATATCGATTGCTGATCTATCAAAAAAGTATTTGATAATTTTTTTGTATAAATATGTGGCATATAATCATGTAAAACACCATAAAAACTATCGTTCCATAAACAAAATAGGTAAGCATCTATGAATGCATCACAGAAGCATAAGAGAAACATTATTGTTGACGAGTTTACATAATATTAAAGTGGTCAGCGTGGAAGAGCGTGCCATGTATAAACCTTAGTGTAATGGGGTACAACTGGTGTTGAATAAAATTCAAGCAGAGTTTCTTCGTTTATTTTCTTGCTAAAAGCTGAGGGAGCTTGAGGTGTTGACCGAGCTGGTGCTGAGGACCGAGTGACTTCGGCTCTGACTTTTTGAGGGCATATCAGTTCATTTTTGTACGGTCTTCAATAAAATGGCACTGAACATAAATGAAATGGAAAAAAGGAAAATAAGTCCAAATGTTTGTTCTGGTAACGTTCCTGTGGTCATACAATCACACGTGTTGGACAAGTGTACTGGATTTGAGGTTTACAACACATACCACGTGGTACGAAGGCATGTCGGTGAATATTAGCAAATGATTGATAAATCGAATATCAGCTGTTACAATGTTTACAAAAGTAGTGATATAGATAGGGTAATTTTTGATGAACATTTTGAGCATATACAATATATGAATTAACATTTGGATAAACAGTAATCGTTAAGTGTCAATAAGTATCAGGATTGCTTGCGCTGGAGGCAGGGACTCAGGTCACGTTGGCACCGGCCATAAACCGTAGGGTCCAGTAACTAGAAGTTCATGAAGGGGGGGGGGGGGTATGGAGTCAGTAGACTTGGAGTCCTAACGATACTCGTGCTGCATATGTAAATCCCTGGAAATGAAGTGAATGCATAAATGATATTTTTTCTAGAATTCCGAAAGATGCAAGTCCAGTAGATAAGTCACAGGAGATTCACAGCTTTTCATTTAAGTTTGTTTTCACTTTCATTATTTTAATATAAGCAGAATAGTAGTCGTAGTAACGATGATGAAAGTGAAGGTAAAAGTGAAGCCAATAATAATAATGAATCATATTTCCACACAAATAGTGCTACATATTCAAACTTTATTACAATTTCGTTCAAAAATAATAATGATAATAATCTCTGCCTAATTTTGCATAATTCTTTTAAAGCCCCACATAATCCCCCCCCCCCCCGAGTCAATATATAGGAAACTACTGATGACAAGACCTATTTCTCTCTAGCCGCAATGCTGACATCAGGAAGTGCAGAAGCCTTCTCGAAAATTCCGTTGACTGAACTGCAACACCTGAGCAATGCCCTGCAAACGACCGACAGCCCCGGCAACACCACTGCAACGGCAACTTTCAATACCCATGACATAACGCTCGTTGCCAAGAACCACGAGAATGCGACCGTGACTTTGTTTTTGAGGTTGGT